AAGGTGCCGGTGACAAGGGCATCCCAAGATATAACCCAAGACTCGAAAACATCTGAGAAACATCTGCCGTCTCTTCACCCGACCCTTATAGAACCTTCATAGAACCCTTGTGGTAACCCTTATAGAACCCTTGTAGTAAGTCTGGTAGTTCGTAGCCCTTTAGTAACGACCCCGTTTCGGCCCTGAGCTGCACCAGCCCCTGTCCAGACACACAGGCATTCGAACCATGGTTCCCTTCACTCGTCCTGAGATGTGCCATAGTTTAGTGTCTAGCCGAATATCCAAGAACCTATTGTTTTAGGTTTATTTTATTCCGTATACTGTAAAAAAGGGTCAAACCTCCTATTTTGTAGGGTTTGGGGTTACAGGGAGGGCTTAGGGACGACAAAAAGAGACCCGACGACGTCAGACGCGCCCTTCGGTCGATGTCGCGGTGATGTTTCTTGGCTTGGCTGAAGCCGCGTAAGGAAGTCTGTCACAAAGCCCAGACATCAATTGTCCAACTGCCACATTTCATGACAAGCTCAAGCTTTCTTGCATGGGAAGGAGGGGCTTCGACAAGAGTGAATCTGACCGTTTGTTTGGCAATCAGCGCTGGTAAACCGTGCAGGTCATGAGGTTGCAGTCTACGCACTGCTTAGTGCATCTTCGGCTGGGGTTTGAGGCACTTGTCCAGCTTCGAGTTGGTTTTAGGATTTGTTCGCTTCAGTGCATTTGGGGCTCCGGCGGTTTGTGGAGTGACGCTGACAGTTTCACTTAGAGCATACGGTTTAAGTCGAACTTTCTGTGCTGGATGCTGTCACAAAAGGCTGCAGAAGAAGGTCTCCGCAGTGCGCAACGGTACGGAGCAGCGCTAAAGATCTGCGACACAAGGCAAAAACCGATTTCGCAGGTTGGCAGTTGGACGGGATCCGTAGTGACGCCAGCAGACGTAACATCCGTCTGAGTCTTGAGGTGACCAGCTCTGTTCGACCGAAGCTCAAAGGGAGCTGTTTCAATCTGAGCGAGAAGGGAGTGCAAAAACGGATCGTTCCGTTGGTCGTGCGTGCAGCCTGGAGAGTCGAGTCTAAGCTCTAAGCCCTAAGCCCCAGCCCTACGCCCATGTGTGTAGGGTTTAGGGTTTACCTATAGTCTTCATTGTAGTTCCTTTTGGGGGATACCTTAATTATAGAGTCCTTAACATAGAATTGTTTAAACCAAAAAAAGGAACTACAATGGAGACTATAGCTAGGGTTTAGGGGCTTTCAGGCCTCAGCTCCGGCTGTGGAACCCCTCGGCCCCCCACGGCCCATGTTCGCACACCGATGCCCCCTACCGTAGGAGTGTGCTAGATGGAAATTGGTGGACAGAAGGTTCACCAAAGTTCTCGCTGTCGACTGGCCGTCTCTCAAATCCCTGTTAGTCCACAGCCCCACCTTCAGGCCTGCAGAAGGGGCGTTCTTCCTCTGCATGCATGCCTACTTGGATGAAGCCTGGCGGCAACAAGCCGTAAATCCTGAACCAAACCCTCGAGAAAATGACAAGTCAAATCTCAAAGCCTAAAAATACCACACCCAGACTCTGACCCGAAGCCGTGTAAGTTTTAGGACTGATTTGGTTTAGGGTGCCTCGCAGTCTAGGAATGTCCAGGATTATGGAGTCCATCTAGCTGCTTGGGCCTATCTCGCAGAAGGTACCCCTGTCCTCTCATCTCACGTTACGGGGCTCGCCAAAACTCTTGTGGCAAGCATTCCTACACCCCAAAGCCTTCAGCCCTAAACCCTAAACCCCTAAACCCGAAACCCCTACCTGTGACTCTAATTACCTACAGCTTTATGCATTCTACCTACTAATTAAGAGGTAATGGCTGCAAAACTATAGGTAAAGAGAGTTACAGGTAAGCCCTAAACCCCCTAACCCCCACACCCTTCAGCTCTACAAAATGGGGTCTTGTTCTGAGAATCATAGGACGCACCGCCTTGAAGATCCGAGCAATTTTCGGCACGGTTCCTAGAGGCCTCAACACGCAGCAAAGGTCGGGTTCCTTTAGAAGGGTCTCATAAATGAATAGTTATACCTATACTATGTGGGGGTTCCTTATTCTGATTATAGTCAAAACCCTGTTCTAATTATTAAGGCTCTTACATTAACTATAGTATAATATACCCCAAAACCCTGTTCTAATTTATTGAGGCCCTTACATTAAGGCCATTAAGGGCTCCCTGAGGTCTAAACCCTAAACCCTAAACCCTAAACCCTAAACCCATTAAGGGCTCCCTGAGGTTCCCGGTTTCGGGGCCCAGCATCTTCCGGCTCCGCGTCCGGCTTCTCTCGGCCTTGGGGTTTCGAGGTTTAGGGTTTAGGGTTTAAGGTTTAGGGTTTAGGGTTTAGGGTTTAGGGTTTAGAGTTTCGGGGTTTAGGGTGTCGGGGTTTAGGGTTTCGGGGTTTAGGGGTTTAGGGTTGAAATTAAGGTTTAGGGTTTAGGGTTTAAATTAAGGGTTTTAGGGTTTAGGATTTAAATTAAGGGTTTAGGGTTTATGGGTTTGAACTAAGAGTTTAGGGTTTAGGGTCCAAGACCCTATAGGCTCCGAACCCTCAGGGCTCAACCGTAAACTCTAAACTCTAAATCTTAAAGCCTTATAAACTACAACGTTTTTGTCCTAAGCCCAAACCATGAGCCTCAACGACCCTCAACTCTAAACCCTCAACCTTAAATGGCCCTATACACCCTAAACCCTCGAGGTATCTTTTCCGCAGCAGTCGCACCTCAACGGCCGAGCAAGGGCCTCGGGCCGCGAGCTGCCTCAACGATAAGGGGCTTTGAGGGGGCTTACGTTCAGGGTTCAGTATGGTGTTTTGGGGTTTGGTGTTTCGGGCTTTGAGGGTTTGGTGTTTTAGGGTCGAAGGTTTTGGGGCTATTACGTTACGTATCTTACGAGGACTAGGGCTATCAGGCGATGCTGTGACGAATGATTCAGACCCGTATGGTAGGTCTGCGGGGTCGCAGTCTCCAAGCGCGCGAGTTGCGCCTTCGGTGAGTGACTTCAGGTCAAGTCACGTCGGTTCTACAGGCACATATAGCAGGTTTGTGAGTATGATAATGCTGTCACGGCGCCCTTCTGCAACCCCCGCCGGACAGTGGCTATGCATTCTCGATGCTTCGAAGTTGCCCCAATGCTTGAGGTATGTAATTATGCAGACAGCGGTCAGCTTGCAGCGGGCCTCATTCGTGCAGCGGTTTGCTTGTCATGGGGCTATTCGATGAGGCGTCATCCCAAGTGCACCTATTCCGCGTTGCCAGCGAACTCGAGGCCTCAATGACCAACCTGCTTTCGGATCACACTTTCCACTACCTTTCGTTAGGCTCCCTTCAACCCTTAAAGCCCTAAATCCTCCGGGTCTCCCAGTTGGCCCTTTCTCCTTTTTTTGAGTCTCAGGCTCCTTATAAAGGTACCCAATACCAAAAAGGGAGCCCTTTTTCATCCTAGGTTACTGGGCATCTAATCCCTAAGCCCCAAACCCTAAACCCCAAACCCTGAACCTTAAACCCTAAACCCTAAACACTAAACACTAAACTCTGAGGCCATCCGGGCCCTTTGCGCTCTACATGCCACCGACCATGTGCTGAAGGCTTGGGTTTAGGGTTTAGGGTTTAGGGGTTTAGGAGTTTAGGGGTTTAGGGTTTAGGGTGTCAGTTCCGCGTGCTTTGTGCCCTCAACCTCGCAGGCATCTCCGGGAGAGTCACGTGTTCCCTGCTGGTGCGTACTATAGGCGGCCTAAATAATTACCACTAGTATTTTCGGGGTTCCTTATTATAGTTAAATATAGTATAATCTGCCCCCGTAGCACGATTCTAACTATTATCAGGCCCCTACATTAGCAAACCCGAAACTCCCTAAAATTTGAAGAAAACCCACTCTCTCTCTCTCGGCACGCTTCCTTCTGAGGGCCGTTGGATCAGTCTTCCCGGGGTTGAGCACGCTGCTGTGGTGTACATGATTTCGACATACTAACCGTAACCTTTGTTAACATATATGAGCCGAATAACGTTTCATTGATTAGTATGATGCCCCTAGAAAGCTCTATTGCGGGGAATTGGTGCAGGCGGGCTTGGACTCGCACAGTTACCATTCAGCACATGCAGCATGCATTGCAGCGCAGTTGATCTGTCTTAATGAGGAAACGTCTCAATCGAAATGTGCGCGAATCGCCTCAGGGGTGTTGCAGAATACTCAAGTCGGAGAATGCCACATCCAGACATGCACAGGCGCAAGGTGAACACCGCGCCGGCTCAGCCCCTGGTGCCGCGACCCGGACTCGGGATTTGGGGGGTTGGGATAACGATTACCTATAGTCTCCATTGTAGTTCCTTTTTTTTGGTTTAACCATTTCTATATTAAGGATTCTATAAGGTATCCCCCAAAAGGAACTACAATGGAGACTATAGGTAGGGGGAGGGGGGGCCATCTCATCTGCTATGGAAGCACAGCGGCGTCCGGCAGGAGCTGATGCTAATTCCAGCACGGATTCTGTATCTTCATCCTGCGGGCAGAAGACAAGAAAATCTCATGGCACAGTAGATCTCGTGAGATTTGGCTTGCCCAACCCCCGTCGCCACAGACCCCAGAAGATGTCCGTGTGAGTTTCTTCGCAAAGTTGCTGCTACATGCAACATGAGCTTACCAATCACATCTACAGCTGGCATTGTGCTCAAGTCTCTTGCCGTTGAGCTTGCATTGTAAGGCAGTTGTGATTATTGATGTGTCTGTTGCTAGGCGCCCTCTTCTTGCACGACCTCCACATCTCGTGGTAGCTGCGGTCGTTACAATCACGAACATCATCATTGTCCCGGTCTTCATCGCCTTTCAATCTGATGAAGGTAAACATGCTACTACTAAGAGAGAGTTTTCTCACACTTCCGATGCGCAGTTCTGAGAGTTCATCCGTAGGAAGAGGTTTCGATGTCTGCGAGGTAGCTCCAGATTGACAGCTGGGTGATTGGACCACGTCTGGCCTCTGCCATGTTCAGCTACAGGAAGGCATGTGCGACAAACGAGCATATCACTGAAGCTGACGTACCTGTCCTGGAAGCACTCGACCAAGAGGAGCTGGCATGGCTTTTGCGAGTTTCTGCACGGTTTGACCACATGACTGCAGCGAAGGCGCTGCTAGCTGCCCGCGCATCTGTTAATCAGATCACGCCGCATCACAGCGCCGGCGCTTACAATGCTTTGCATGAAGCCTGCCGGTACAATGCCAATGTGGACATTATCCGTCTAATGCTGCAGGCAAGGGGGGACCCTGACATCAAGACCAGGTGCAAGAACAATCCGAGGACAGCCCTCCAGATCGCTGAAGGCGAAGGTCAAGCAAGCTTGGTCCAGTGTCTTCGACCGCAAGCCCCTGCGGAAGCTGCTGTCGCTGCCCCAAAGCCCATGCCATCCCAAGTGCAGGAGACCGGCAAGAGACCCCTGACCTTCAGCTTCACGCAAGCACACTTCTTACTCGAGCATGTCTCGGAGGAAGACTCCTCTGTGTTGATGGCTTTGGGCTCTGAAGAGACAGCATGGCTGTTGAGGGTTGCAGCAGGCTTTAACCAACTGAGTGCAGCAAAGGCTCTTCTATCTGGGCGAGCCTCCGTGGATGTTATTACACACCATCGCACGGGCGGGGCATTGAATGCTTTGCAAGCAGCTTGTGTCTGGAAATCAAGTGCGGATATGTTGCAGCTGCTGCTAGAAGCCGATGCGGATACCAACATCAAGACCTACTACAAAGGCCACCAGCGGACTGCCTTGCAAATCGCCGAAGCCGAGAACCATGATGATCTAGCTCGATTCTTTCATGATTTCTCCGCCAAGGCCCTTCTCGCTTCAACTTCATGTCCGGCCTATTGATTCATCATCATGAATTCCAGTGGACAACCGGCATCTTGAAGAGAACCCTCACCTGCAGAAACAAAAATGCCCAAGAGCACCCTAAACCCTAAACCCT